CGCTGACTCCAGACAACACTGGCGCTCTTTGTTGTTAACTCCGTTAAATTGCATTTAACTGCATTAAAACTATGGTTGAGGTAATTCTATGGTGGCTTGATGTTTTTCTTTGAAGGTGCGGCACAAGCAGTATATTTGGTTAGTGCGTTGGACTTCAGATTGAGAGGTCCAGGTTTGAGCCCTGGATGCAATCACTTCTTTGTGTTCTTGGACAAGACACTAAACTCGCACAATGCTTTTCTCTACCCAGGTGTAGAAATGGGAACTGGAAAATTTTATGCTGGGAGGTAACTTTGCGATGGACTAACTTCCATCCATCTAGTCACTTTGATTCCAGCTGTCTATACATGCTATACATGTATGGACCATTGGCCTGCAACAGACTTGACCTTACCTTAAAGTGCCTATGAAGTAAAAAATAATTCCTGCTCATTTGAAAGGCTTTTTAAAGTAAAGAAGAATGGCGTTTTCCTTTTTGGAATATCTTTTTTTGTTTTAGAGATATTCACGTTTTTGTATTATGCAAATGAGGAAAGTGATGACGTCATAAGTGGTTCCTCTAAAACAGCACAACACTCAATTGAGAATAACTCTAGAAATATTAAAGCAGTGTTCTTCAAACTTGGCACCAGAAATGTACATCACAAAAAAAACGAGAATGACACCTACAATGTTGTTGCCATGGCAACACTCTTGGCTCCAGTCTCTTTGTTTGAAAAACCAAATATCCCCATTTGCAACCTTTTAAAGTGGGACAGAGGGTCTTGCTCAGAACACACATGGTTCCCATATTGTCTTAACTCTCCCCATTAGATTGGTGGGAGTGGATGATCCTTGTTTAAGATAAAATTTGGGAATTTTAGTCTTAATTAAAACAGAACCAGCGGCATAACTGTTGTCATGGCAATGGCATGACCGGTGTCATTGTTTCTTTTGTGATGCACATTTCTGGTGCCAAGTTTAATGTTACTCAAACCTTCACGGGGCTACTTTTTCAAAACTTTCTTTTTTCCAACCAAATTAAAGTTCATTATTCCAGGTAACATTTCCAAAAAATGAAAATAAAATATTAAAATGCATGCGAGTTATTGGGAAAAAGAGGTTTTTTTAATAAAAGTTAATAAACCGTCAAGGTGTCATAATCCCCCAAAGGCATGGACTCCTCAGTGACCTTTTTGCGGCAAGTGGCTTAATCCAGAGATCCTATATCAAATACTGTATTTTCCCTTGTACAAGTCAACCTTTCAAGACCTAAAAATCAGTCCAAAAATTCGCCCTCGACTTATACATGGGTCAAAACTTGAGATCCAAGTGCCAGTGAAATAATTAGCATAATAATTGTCTTTCACTGTTAACAAACATGTGATAAACAGCAACACAGTTTACAACATACGTTCACTTAGCAATCTGTCTCTCTGTATTAGAGCTTCAAGTTAAAATGCATCAACATTTATCCATTAAATTTGAACCTGAATCTTGTAGACACTCACTGGCTCATTTTTGTCATAAAGAACTGATATTTTTCCTGTAAATAAAGCTGTAGTAAAGCCGCTCAGAGAAAATATCTTTCGGGCTTCGAACTTCTCTGCTTGGTAACCTGGCAGGATACGAGTGCATGGACTTCTGTACAAGTACTTGACCGATTTCAAGGCTTGACTACCCAACACACGCTTTGCACTTTGTTTATGGCGTCGTTCTGAAAGTCGTGAGCTTCTTTGGTGTTTTGCCTGTCTTATAAAGCCACTTTTAATCTCTTCACACTTAAAAAGGTTTGTTTGAAATCCTTATGTTTGATTTTGTGAGCATTTTACAAAAATTATCGTCGAAAAGCCCGCATGCACACATGTTGCTAAGCTGGGTAAAACGCTCGTATATGTGCCATAATAAGCTTTAAAACTGCGTGTTGAAACTTGCTGTGATTTGCTTACATATCTGTGGTAGCTGAAAGACAATTTTAATAAATACAAGATAAGTTTTCCAAGAAATTCTTACCTGGAAATTA